AAGGCTCGCGCATGCAGAGCGTGAAAAGGCCCAGTGGGTCTAATGCACATCCAGACTGAACAACTCTCTTCTCCCATTCCAGGGGAAAACATAATCTATGCTTAAGGCTACAGGAAAACGCTTGTATAACTTGTTCAGTCCCGGGAGAATCATTTATCTCTACAGCATCACAGAATAGCCTCACTGCTTCACATTTGCACCCACTAACCTCCAGCAAAAGCTTGAAAAGTTGTAGAAAATGATACTTACGATCATCCTCGCCTTGTCCTCTTGCCAAAAGCACCGCTGCGCTGAGCAACAGCGCCAACCGAATATCCACAAAGCTGAACATGTCTAAATATTAGACATGTAGACTCTTTGAGGCGAGGGAAGTTCTTTTTTTCCTTTAGACTCCAATCATACACGGTAGGGTCCGGTCTTCTGTGACTCCAATCCAGACCCCAGCAGAAACTCCCTACTGCCTAAACCAACTCTAGGTCCTGGCTTTTATACCCCAAACTTTCTGGGAGGCGCCGGGAGCAGCAGATAACTCAAGCATGTTTACGTTTAATAGAATAGCGTCCCTCCTTCACCGGACAGGGGGGCTGTCTTCACAACGTTGTCAGAGCGAACATCTAAAGAAACCTGATCTCTTAATAAAAAGGTGAGGGTTTGCTCTCAAAACTTCTTTTTGGTGAAGCTATAGGTTGTGTGCCAAGGTGACCACCTGTATTGTGGGCATATCTCCGGACGTTTGTTTCAATCTTGAATTCTGGAAAGACCTCTCGACCCAACGACTTGCTTTCGTCAAATGAGGATTTGGAGATGAGGACGACACAGTGCTTTCTGAACTAAACTTGTTATCGTTTCGTTTTCTTTTTTAAACGTTGTATACCGACGGAATTCAGTTTTTTTAATTTATTTTTTTATATTCCATAACAAATTTTGAAGGTCATGTTTCATTAGTGGATTTCTGCAGCCAATTACTGAACATCTATCTATCTATCTATCTATCTATCTATCTATCTATTTTGTATTAAATAACGTTCAAAAGTTATGTAGCTTATGTATTGTTTTGACAAATTAGGTTTATAATTATTATTCGCATTTTTTTTAATTATTAGCCAAATATTTCGTATTTGTTCTATAAAAAAGTAGGCTAGTTGTGTTTGGTGAATATCTGAAACGTATAGGCCTTCAGGATGGGCACACTTTTATCTTATCACAATTATTTCTGTCATTTATAGGCCCTCTGAATTGCATAGGTTTTCAGTTTCACGAGTTTCAACTTATCGATAATTAAATTCTACATATAACTACTTATAACTGCAGGCTGTCACCGTGGCATCATTTTGAATTTACTTAAAACTTCAAGGCAGCAATTAAACTTCATGTTAGTGGGTTTATTTTTGTTACAGTGAAAGAAGCCACATTGTAATATTAATAGAACAGAGAAAAACACAAATATGGCCTCGCTCAGACTATAAAAACGGAAAACGCTTTTAAAGGTGCACATCCTTAGTACGCGGCACGCACGAGCCATAAAAAGTGATTTGGCTTGTGAGCGGCTGCATCTCTCTTCCGTAGACACGTCGCACCTCTGGAGCTGGCCAATCAGAGCTTACGCTCTCCCCCTCTCTCTTCATCTTCATAGCAGCGTCTCATCCAAGAGCTGCGTCTGCCTCCTTACTCCGTTCAGAATAATGCAGATGAAAGGAGTCTAGAGAGAAAGGGAGGGAGAGAGAGAGAGGGAGAGAGAGAGAACGCCACCTCATCGCTTTCAGGTGCACGTAGGGTCAGTCGTGATGAAAGCACTTGTGCTCCATTCACACACTAATGAAGGGTCCAAGCAATTTGACTTAAGGCATAATGGAAAGGAATGGACATTTAAACTAATAACCCGATGAGAAACTTTGTATGCATATATATATATATATATATATATACTTGAATATTACAATCATGACTTGTTTTAGATCAAATCCAACTGAAAATCAGGTAAGCTATAAAAAATAATTTATAACTAACCTGTAAGGAATATAACATCTAAAGTTTTGTGCAGTGGTAATAAATGCTGGTTTAAAATGTATGTTTTTTGGTCTCCAAGAACTTTAAGATGTTCAGCAAGTAAACAAAACCCTTGATGAAGCAATAAACTGATAAAAAGATTGAAATAGAAACCTACCCTGTCACCCTTCTCACCGGCAGGACCTCTTGGTCCCTAAGAGAGAGTGATGAACACAAAGGCGTTTATAAGGATTTGTTTTCCCAAATAAATAGCAAAATAACTTGTAACTTGCTTCAAATGAGATCAAATGAGGCATTGAGTATGGTATTCTTAATAATGTAGGCCATTTATAAAGATCATTTTATGAAGCAATGGACTGAATACTTATTTGAGGAAATATAAGCTGATAAAAGTAAAACAACATTTACCTCAGCACTGGGCTCCTGGAATTCTATAAAATTGAGGAAAAATAAAAACAAAAATTAAAACCATATAAAAATAGAAATGAGTCAGATGCCTCTTTTGGTTTGCAAATGTTTAGCACTAAAATGATAACAATCAGCCTAACCAGCGAGTCTGTGGTTTTCCCCAATTAGATTTGAGGCCTTGAGCCTGATTTAGGCCCACTAAACCAAGAACGAAACCACAAATTAATCCAGTGAGTGACCATAAGGCCGGAAGCTTGAAGATCTCATTGAAAAATCCAATGGGGAGTGAATGTTGTGGCTCCATCTGAATTTTCCCTGACATTTTAAATGAAGGGATGTGGGGTGGTTCTGTTTGCCCAAAGTAAGAAAAAACGTTGCGTGAGAATCAAGGCGTCGTACCGTCGTCTGGGCAGACGGGGCAGCACTCGTCGTGGGGAATCACTGGGTTGAGGCAGTCGGTCGTGTCCTCGCAGATCACCTCGTCGCACATAACGGTGCCGCTGTCGCACACGCAGATTTGGCATGGCTCTGGTTTCCAGACGTCCCTGTCATTGTAGACCTGGCCGTCCAATGTGCAGCTGCCACCTGTGCCTACGGGAATAACGAGTGAAATAGTTGCACGAGTATGACAGTAGAAATATAAACATTTGATATTTGAGAAGCCTATGTCATAGAATATAAGATGTTCATGTCTAATATAGGTCAGTTTGTTTCTTGTTTATTGTCATATGCATGAAGTTAAATCGGTGACGGAAGGTGGGAAATGCATAGAAGGCACTTTTAGTCGTCTCTAAATAATCGCTTAAATCTCGCGGTAAATGCGACTGCTTTGGAAATGAGTTTTCGAAACGAGGCCATCTCTTGAGAATTTTGTTTTGTAAACATTTCCCGTAGACGTGGGAACAGATTAGGCTCGAGTAAACGCACACCTTCACTTCTGCTTGAAATGTTTGGTTTGAAATTCATCCCTAGGTGGCGCAGTGTCGTTATGCCCAGATTGCATTATTCAGAGGAAAAAGCTTGAGTGAAAATTTCCACGTCCACGTCTGCTGAAGCTGGCCGTCCATCATGATGTAATTGAAAACTGTCGGCTTGGCAACGACTAACGTTTTCCTTCAGTGGAAAGTCTGCAGGGTCCGCATGTGTTTTCAATCATCATAACGGGGAAAAAGTGAAAGGCATGGGGTGGGGTGGGGGGATTGTCAAAATATGATGTCATTGCATATTTAACCACCGAGTGGCGCTGTGAGACTGCTTGAAATACTTGAGCCCTTCAAACAGGTAAAAAAAATTACGGGTCTGGAATATTAATTAAAAGTAAACCTTGCATTTAAACTAGGTGCATGTCTTGATTTTCTTTCAGGAAATCAAGTAGTCTGGGTTTAACTTAGTTAGCAGACTTAACTATCCAGTTTGGAAACATGCTCATCCAAGAATGAGATCATCGCGCACTCTCGCTCTTTTTTTGGTTTGGGGAAAACTTTTTTAATCGATGTCGCCCATATCCATATTTGTTTTTTCTTTTGCTGGAATTGCACATTTTATTCTAAGTTGCTTGTATACCAAGCAATTTAGCAACCAAGCAACTGGCCAATTATATCACTAGTAAATTACTTAAATCTGAACTTTTCCCCTTAAAGTTTTAAGTTCTACATTTGATATCAGTTCATTTTTCCATTTAAAAGAAGTACTAAGCACGTTATGGACTATTTGCTCTCTGTGTCTGATTTTCTCTTTTAGCAGCTGTTGAGGATAACAAATTGCGCGTGGAGGAGAGTCTCCAAACCTGTGCCAACTTGTCTCCAAAGGCTCGCGCATGCAGAGCGTGAAAAGGCCCAGTGGGTCTAATGCACATCCAGACTGAACAACTCTCTTCTCCCATTCCAGGGGAAAACATAATCTATGCTTAAGGCTACAGGAAAACGCTTGTATAACTTGTTCAGTCCCGGGAGAATCATTTATCTCTACAGCATCACAGAATAGCCTCACTGCTTCACATTTGCACCCACTAACCTCCAGCAAAAGCTTGAAAAGTTGTAGAAAATGATACTTACGATCATCCTCGCCTTGTCCTCTTGCCAAAAGCACCGCTGCGCTGAGCAACAGCGCCAACCGAATATCCACAAAGCTGAACATGTCTAAATATTAGACATGTAGACTCTTTGAGGCGAGGGAAGTTCTTTTTTTCCTTTAGACTCCAATCATACACGGTAGGGTCCGGTCTTCTGTGACTCCAATCCAGACCCCAGCAGAAACTCCCTACTGCCTAAACCAACTCTAGGTCCTGGCTTTTATACAACCATATAAAAATAGAAATGAGTCAGATGCCTCTTTTGGTTTGCAAATGTTTAGCACTAAAATGATAACAATCAGCCTAACCAGCGAGTCTGTGGTTTTCCCCAATTAGATTTGAGGCCTTGAGCCTGATTTAGGCCCACTAAACCAAGAACGAAACCACAAATTAATCCAGTGAGTGACCATAAGGCCGGAAGCTTGAAGATCTCATTGAAAAATCCAATGGGGAGTGAATGTTGTGGCTCCATCTGAATTTTCCCTGACATTTTAAATGAAGGGATGTGGGGTGGTTCTGTTTGCCCAAAGTAAGAAAAAACGTTGCGTGAGAATCAAGGCGTCGTACCGTCGTCTGGGCAGACGGGGCAGCACTCGTCGTGGGGAATCACTGGGTTGAGGCAGTCGGTCGTGTCCTCGCAGATCACCTCGTCGCACATAACGGTGCCGCTGTCGCACACGCAGATTTGGCATGGCTCTGGTTTCCAGACGTCCCTGTCATTGTAGACCTGGCCGTCCAATGTGCAGCTGCCACCTGTGCCTACGGGAATAACGAGTGAAATAGTTGCACGAGTATGACAGTAGAAATATAAACATTTGATATTTGAGAAGCCTATGTCATAGAATATAAGATGTTCATGTCTAATATAGGTCAGTTTGTTTCTTGTTTATTGTCATATGCATGAAGTTAAATCGGTGACGGAAGGTGGGAAATGCATAGAAGGCACTTTTAGTCGTCTCTAAATAATCGCTTAAATCTCGCGGTAAATGCGACTGCTTTGGAAATGAGTTTTCGAAACGAGGCCATCTCTTGAGAATTTTGTTTTGTAAACATTTCCCGTAGACGTGGGAACAGAGCAGCTCGTGTGTAAACGCACACCTTTACATTTGCTCGAAAAGGTTTGGTTTGAGATTCACCCCTAGGTGGCGTAGTGCCGTTATGCCCAGATGCCATTATCCAGAGGAAAAAGCTTGAGGGAAAGTTTCCACGTCTGCTGAAGCTGAGCGTCCATCATGAAGTAACTGAAAACTGTCGGCTTGGCAACGACTATCGTTTTCCTTCAGTGGAAAGTCTGCAGGGTCCGCATGTGTTTTCAATCATCATAACAGAGGGGGAAAAAAGTTAAAGGCATGGGGGGTGGGGTGGGGGGGATTTGTCAAAATATGTCATTGCATATTTAACCACCAAGTGGCGCTGTGAGACTGCTTGAAATACTTGAGCACTTCGACAGGTAAAATTATGGGTCTGGAATATTAATTAAAAGTAAAACTTACATTTAAACTATTTGCATTTCTTTATAAATGTACAGAAAATCAAGTAGTTTTGTTTTAATTTAGTTAGCAGACTTAACTATTCATTTTGGAAACATGGCCATCCAAAAATGAGATCATCGCGTTCTCTCTGTCTCTCTCTCTCTCTCTTTCTCTCTCTCTCTATCTATCTCTCTCTCTTTCTCTCTCTCTCTCTCTCTCTCTCTCTCTGGTTTGGGGGAAAACTTTTTTAATGGATGTCGCCCATATCCAGATTTTTTTCCTTTTGCTGGAATTGCACATTTTTATTCTAAGTTGTTTGTTTTTTTCCCCATCCAACTGGCCAAACTTATCACTAGGCAGTGACTTAAATCTGAACTTTTTCCCTTAAAGTTTTAAGTTCGACATTTTTTATCAGTTAATGTTTCCATTTAAAAGAAGTAGTGAGCACATTATGGACTATTTGATCTCTCTGTGTCTGCTTTTCTCTTTTAGCAGCTGTTGAGGATAATAAATTGCTCGTGTTGGAGAGTCTCCAAACCTGTGCCAACTTGTCTCCAAAGGCTCGCGTATGCAGAGCGTGAAAAGGCCCAGTGGGTCTAATGCACATCCAGACTGAACAAAAGTTCTTCTCCCATTTCAGGGGAAAATATAGCTAATCTATGCTTAAGGCTATAGGAAAACGCCTGCATAACTTGTTCAGTCCTGAGAGAATAATTTCTCTCTACAGCCTCACTGCTTCACATTTGCACCCACTAACCTTCAGCAAAAGCTTGAAAAATTGTAGAAAAGTTATACTTACGATCATCCTCGCCTTGTCCTCTTGCCAAAAGCACCGTTGCGCTGAGCAACAGCGCCAATCGAATATCCACAAAGCTGAACATGTCTAAATATTAGACATGTAGACTCTTTGAGGCGAGGGAAGTTCTTTTTTTTTCCTTTAGACTCCAATCATACACGGTAGGGTCCGGTCTTCTGTGACTCCAATCCAGACCCCAGCAGAAACTCCCTACTGCCTAAACCAACTCTAGGTCCTGGCTTTTATACCCCAAACTTTCTGGGAGGCGCCGGGAGCAGCAGATAACTCAAGCATGTTTACGTTTAATAGAATAGCGTCCCTCCTTCACCGGACATGGGGGCTGTCTTCACAACGTTTTCAGAGCGAACATCTAAAGAAACCCGATCTCTTAATAAAAAGGTGAGGGTTTGCTCTCAAAACTTCTTTTTGGTGAAGCTAGGTTGCGTGCCAAGGTGACCACCTGTATTGTGGGCATATCTCCGGACTTTTGTTTCAATCGTGAATTCTGGCAAGACCTTTCGACCCAAAGTCTTACTTCAAATGAGGACTGGGAGATGAGGACGACGCAATATTTGTTATCGTTTCTTTCTTTCCTTTTTTTTAATTTAATTTAATTTTTTTTTAATGTAGAAGGTCATTTTTCATTAGTGGATTTCTGCTGAATGTTGACGTGCAGAAGATTGTTTCCTATCTATCTATCTATCTATCTATCTATCTATCTTGTAGGCTATTAAATAGCGTTAAAATTTATATATGTAGGCTATTGTTTGGACAAATTAGGTTTATGATTATTATTCGCAATTTTTATTAAAGTTTAAAGTATTACAGTTATTGAAGTTATTAGCCAAATATTTTGTATTTGTTCTATAAAAGTAGTTGTGTTTGGTGAATATTTGAAACGTATAGGCCTTATATTGTGATGCTGATTCAGGATGGGCACACTTTCTTGTTAATAAAAGCATAACAAGATAGTTTTTTCCCCAATCGTTTATCTTGTCACCATCATTTCTGTAATTTATAGGCCTACTGGATTGTATAATTTTTTACATTTCATGAGTTTCAACTTATCGATAATTAAAGTCTACGTGGTCGAAAAAAATTCCATGCACTTATAACTGCAGGCTGTCACCTAGGCATCATTTTGATTTTATTTAAAACTTTATGGCAGCACTTAAACTTTTTATTTTTTTATTTTAGTGGGCTTATTTTTGTTACAGTGAAAGAAACCACATTTAAATAATAATGGAAAGAAAGAGAAAACAACAAAACACAAATATGGCCTCAGACTACAATAACGGAAACGCTCTTAAAGGTGCATATCCGTAATACGCGGCAGGCACGAGCCATAAAAAGTGATTTGGCTTATGAGCGGCTGCATCTCTCTTCCGCAGACACGTCGCACCTCTGGAACTGGCCAATCAGAGCTTGCGCTCTCCCCTTTTCTCTTCATCTTCATAGCGGTGTCTCATCCAAGAGCCGCGTCTGCCTCCTTATTCCGTTCAGAAGCTAATGCAGATGAAAGGAGTCGCGAGCCTTGAGAGAAAGGGAGAGAGAGAGA